GCCGGGGGCCGGGGGCGGCTCTCCGAGGGCAGGCTGGTTTCCTGTCCCCGTGCCCTCTTGCACCGCTTCCGTGGTCACCGGTCGCTGAGCGTGTCCCAGAGTCCCGCGCCACCCCTGCGCCCCACGCCCCAGCTCTCCAGCGCCCCAGCGTCGCCCCCGCGGCCGTCCACCGCCGGCGCCATGCCCCCGCTGCGGAGCCACAAGCCCACGGTGGCAGTAAGTACCAGCCCGCGACGCCCTGGCTGCAGCTGTGCAGCCAGGACCTCATAATCTCGATCCCCGGCCCGGCCTCAGCCATCTTCCCTCCCGCGCTCCTCCGTCCTACCTTACCTGCTGTCACCTGGCCTGGCCTTTCTGCAGCCCTTTGCCTGGAACAGGCTGTACTCTGTGGCCCCCTCGTTCCCTTCATTTCCCGCCATGCCTCTGCGCCTGCGTTCCGGCAAGTGTCGCAATGATTGCAATTATCCAGTACCCTCTACCCAACAGTCTTTTGGGCAGTGACTGGATTGTAGACGTTTGTGTGTTCAGAGCTGCAGAGGCAGACTTGACCCACAGGGGGTGCTCAATGCATTTCTGTTTCATTAATGAAGGCCAGATCTAGGGCTTCCCTCTAGACTAGGTGAGCTGGAGTTGAGGAATGAATATTCACTATGCTCACTTCCAGCCAGACACTGGGTGGGGAGAGGGAAGGTCAAAACTACAGGACAAGGAGAGCCAACCACGGGATGTGGGACAAGGTCCAGCACTGTGTGGTGGGATCAGGTGTTCAGAGAGTGCTGTGAGCTGGGAGGGCTTCAGAGTGGAGGAAGTGAACCAGGAAGATCATGAATTTACAGTGAAGCCAAACAAGGTTAGGACCCAGGCCCCTCACTTTGTTCCTTCCAAGACTTTATATTCAATTTTATATTCATAATTGTGTGTCCTTTTTCTTTAAGAGGTCTCTTCTAAATTGTCTACGTCTCAGCCTCCACAAACCTAGGTCTGGGGCAGATGGGGTGGGTCAGAACGGGGAGCAGCAGGTGGCCAGTGGGCACAGCTTTCTGACGGCCAGAAGACGCTGCAGAATACGGCCAAGGTGCAATGAAATCCCAGAGACAGAGACTTGAGGTCTGCCTTTCCCCACTGCTGGAGTATGACCATGGGGAAGTCATGGAGGTGCTCTGGACCAGCCCCCTCCCTGCAGAGTGGGCCAGCAACCCTGCACACCTCGGGTAGAGCAGAGTGGTGGAGGCACTGTGGACCCTGGACAGGCCACACCCACATCAAGCACCAGCTCCCAGGCAGGACCCCTCTTCCTCAGTCGAGATTAATTTATCTCTGGCAGCAATCCGGGGGTGAGGGGAGAGGTTCCTTATTCTGTAGGTGAGGAAACTGAGGCAGGGAGCGGCTGTGAATCTTTCAAGGGCTCGAGAGTAGACTAAGATCCTAAAATGTGGGCCTTTTCACCCTCTGGTAAAGAGCAGGCCCTGGGTGAGGCCATGGCAGGGACACCTGAGCAGAAGGGGTGGGTGGGGAGTCACCTGCTCACACACACACTCAACCTGGAGCCAGGGCAGCACCAGCTTTCCTTGGGTGGAGCGGACTGGCAGAAGCACCTCATGGGAGGTGGTTTAGGAGCGATGGCTGGCCAGCAGCTGAAATGCCTTCAAGCCATCCTCCTTAGTCGAGGGTCTGCTGAGAGGCTGGTGCACCCAGGCCTCACTTGGCTCCATACACTGCCAAAACCCAGCTCTACCAAAGTCCAGAAGGGGGTCTGGCTGGGAAGATCCATCCTTGTTCCCTTCTCGCTAAGGTATGGGGTGGAGAACCCTCTGGATAGGGCTTAGGTCCCAAACGTATGTTGTTGAGCATGTCATTAATTTCTCCAACCTTGATTTTCATCTGTAAAATAGGATAACAGATGACTTTCTATTTCTTCTGCAGGGTGTTCCAGCGGTAAATGAAACATTAGCATGCAGGCTGACAATTTCTGTATGTCAGGCTCTTTGCTAATCCCGTTCCTACACTGTCTTATCTAAGCCTCATAACAACCCTGTGAAGTAGGCCCCCTCATATGTGAGTAAACTGAGTCAACAGTCGAGAGCTGGGATCTGCAAGACTTAGCTCTCCACAGCCTTACCCCAACACTCTGTGATAGAGGGTGTCACAAAAGGCAGCTTTCCAAATATCCTGCTAAGCCGGAATCACCCCCTGTGGTAACAGACACTTTCAGCCCCTCTGTATTTCAGTCCCTCAGCCCGTACACCTGCCTGCCACCTCCTGGGGGGGCACCCCAGCCTCGCAACCGGCACAAATCACACCCTGATTCTGCGGCTGACCTGCTGTCTGCCCTGAGCCAGGAGGAGCAGGACCTCATCGGGCCAGTGGTTGCCCTGGGATACCCCCTGCACAGGGCCATCACGGCTCTGCAGAAGACGGGGAGACAGAGTCTGAGCCAGGTGAGTGGGGACCCCAGGGTTGAGGGGCCATGAAACTGGAGCCAGTGAATGGCTATGTGGTTTTCATCTTTAACTTGGAGAAATTAAAGGAAACCTCTTTTTTTTTTTTTGGAGGGTTTTTTTCGCTATAGGGCATGGTGTGTTCCCTTCTCGCTAAGGTATGGGGTGGAGAACCCTCTGGATAGGGCTTAGGTCCCAAACGTATGTTGTTGAGCATGTCATTAATTTCTCCAACCTTGATTTTCATCTGTAAAATAGGATAACAGATGACTTTCTATTTCTTCTGCAGGGTGTTCCAGCGGTAAATGAAACATTAGCATGCAGGCTGACAATTTCTGTATGTCAGGCTCTTTGCTAATCCCGTTCCTACACTGTCTTATCTAAGCCTCATAACAACCCTGTGAAGTAGGCCCCCTCATATGTGAGTAAACTGAGTCAACAGTCGAGAGCTGGGATCTGCAAGACTTAGCTCTCCACAGCCTTACCCCAACACTCTGTGATAGAGGGTGTCACAAAAGGCAGCTTTCCAAATATCCTGCTAAGCCGGAATCACCCCCTGTGGTAACAGACACTTTCAGCCCCTCTGTATTTCAGTCCCTCAGCCCGTACACCTGCCTGCCACCTCCTGGGGGGGCACCCCAGCCTCGCAACCGGCACAAATCACACCCTGATTCTGCGGCTGACCTGCTGTCTGCCCTGAGCCAGGAGGAGCAGGACCTCATCGGGCCAGTGGTTGCCCTGGGATACCCCCTGCACAGGGCCATCACGGCTCTGCAGAAGACGGGGAGACAGAGTCTGAGCCAGGTGAGTGGGGACCCCAGGGTTGAGGGGCCATGAAACTGGAGCCAGTGAATGGCTATGTGGTTTTCATCTTTAACTTGGAGAAATTAAAGGAAACCTCTTTTTTGTTTTTTGGAGAGGATTTTTTCGCTATAGGGCATGTGTGCTCGCCAGACAGAGACATAGAGACAGAAAACAAGAAATCACTGCCCAGGGGAAATGGTCACGCCGCAATCCCCTCTCCTCCCTTCTCCTCTCGGGATCTTGGGCACACACGCACACGCGCCGGTGTGAGTTTTAAGTCACCGGGTCCGGGATGCAAACCACGGTTGACTACATGGGAGTCCAGTGACATAGCCGTTACGCTAACTGCTGGTTCCCAAGGAAACCTCTTTATAGGCAGAACCTCAGCCTGACATTAATCTTTGGGGTTTGTGAGCAAGTTTCTAGACCCTCCATGGGAGTAGATCAGGAATCTCTATGTCCACTTGGGGAGCCTTGATATTCTACTCCTATCCATGTCCCTGCCACAAATGCAGGGATCGAAGCTTTGAGCACTCAAGACTCTGCAGAACTGTCCAGTAGACCATTCTGCAACGAGAGCAACATTGTATGTCTCTGTTCTTCAAAAGGATATCCACCAGCCATGTGTGGTGAAGTATGGCTAATTTCCCCGAGATGCTGAATTTTAGATGTTACTTAGTTGTAATTAATTCAAATTTGAATTCAAATGGCCAGATGTAAAGTGTTTATTGGGAACGTCCTGGGTGTTTAGATACAGCTAGGAGCTATGGGAAAAAACAGAGGCCATAAAACCAGTGTGGTAAATTGAGTTCCCAGAGAGCAGGCCCTGACGGAGTTTACATGCAGAATGTTTATGAACGGGGCCCTTGAGATTATTTCTTGTGCAAGGGAGGAGTAGAGGTGGGGGCCAGGGGAGAAGCCGAGCTGTAATGTGGACCAGCAGCAGCAGCAGCAGCCCACCCCACAGCTCTGGTGCATCTGTATACGGCAGAGGTGTCCTAAGTGGACCTTTATGCCCCTGCCTTAGTCAGACATCACTGTGGGAAGGAGTCACCTGAGAGAAGTGGGTCTCTGCAGCCAAGGCGGTCCCTGCAAGGGCAGACAGCTGACGAGTGTCTCCCTGCTCTCTCAGCTTCTGGGCAAGGAGAGCCTCAACAACGGGGTGTCAAGGCGCATCACAGATCTACCACACCCAGATGCTCTTCCCAAAGCACTCACTCTTATTGGAAGAATGGGCAGCTGTTCTAGTCTTCCGTGTTGCTAATGCCCAGATACCTGATCTATAAAAATAGAAGGTTGGGCTGGCCCTGTAGCCTAGTGGTTAAGAGCCATATCCCACATGACCAGCTAGCTGCATTCGAATCCCAGCCCAAGTGGCTTAAGAAACACATCAGGTGCCTATGCATGCATGCCCCAAATCCTGATGGGGTGGAGAAATGGAGGAGAAGGGATTGCAGCGTGACCACTCCCCATGGGGGATGCTGTCTCTCTCTCTCTGTCTCTCTCTGGTGAGCACTCATCCCCTTTAATTTAGTAAATAAATTTAATTAACAAAAGAAGGGGCTGGCCGGTGATAGGGTGGTTAGGGCAGCTAACCACATGGCCAGCTGCATGGTTCAAGTCTTGAAACAGCAGCCTGAAAACCATGCCAGGCATGCATGCCCAAAATCTCGAGAGGAAAGTAGAGAAGAAGGGATTGTGGTGTGGCTATCACCCTTGGGGTTGCTTTCTCACTCTCAACCCTTTCTCTCTCTGGTAAGCACATGCACCTTATAGCAAAATTAAGGAAGGAAGAAACAGAAAGAGGGAAAAAGGAAGAGAGGAAGAAAGGGAGGGAGGGAGGGGGGAGGGGAGGGAAAGTATGAGTTTATTTAGTTCATCTGGTGAGGGCCTTCTTGCTGTGGGGACTCCCTGCAGATTGTGAGGGTGACGGGGCATCACACAGGAAAAGCCTGAGCACAGCAGAGCACGTGTCTGTCCGTTTGCCTCTGCCTTCTTCTTTCTCCTTATAAACTTACCAGGAACCGATCACGGGGGCTCCACCTTAATCACCTCCCAAAGCCTCACCGTCTTAATCTCATAGTCAGAAGGCTGTTTTTGTTTTTGTTTTGTTTTGCCAAAGGGTATGTGTGCTCACCAGAGAGAGACAGAGAGAGAAAGAGAGGGAGAAAGCACGCCTCCCCCCACGGAGAATGATTACCCCTCATCCTCTCTCCTCCATTTCTCCCTCCTTTTGCCACCTTGGGCACACACGCATACGCACAGTGTGTTTTAAGTGGCCAGGGCTGGGGTTCAAACTGCACGGTCAGTCACGTGGGATCGGCTGTCTGAAACACAGGCCATGAAGCCAGCCCCGCTTTATTGGACCTTTCTTTGCACTAGTCCTCAATCTGAGCGTATTTAGGTAGGTCAGCTCGGTTCTGCACCATTGTCATTGCTGCCCCCAACCACTTTCAGATGAGGAAGCTGAGACCAGGCACCTTCGTGTAGCCAGTCCATGGCAGCACCAGAGTTGAGGCCGGGCTGGTCTGACTCTGAATCTTTGTTGCATTTGTTCTGTGAAAGTCTCCTGGGACAGCACTCCAGGCTGCTCCAGGCTTTCAGAGCAGATCTAAAGTTCTTCTTACCTTCAGCTGCACTGAAAAGCCAGGCCTTGGGCAAGACGCTGGCTGTGAGGGGCCAGCCCCACACAGGCTCTGACAGGAACCGATCACGGGGCCAGTCCCTCGGGCCCATGAAGAGGCTGAGGTCTCAGGTCATTGTGGTGGGGTTAGTGAGAGCCAGCGTGGAGCTGGCCTCCCAGTGGGTGGGCTGGAAGGATCCTTCTGCGTCAGGAACACCGCGTCTCCAGATATACAGACTGACCACCTGCGTGGGCCCTGGATCGCTGGGTGGCCTTCTTCCTCGGAGACTGTGGGCTCCCAGCCCTCTGGCCCCAGTTCTCCCAGGGCAGCTCTGATCTTAGCTGTTACTGTTGTAGCCGCCTTGTGTTCAAACAGTCCAGGGGTGACAATGGTTTGAAAACGATTAGTCTGTGTGTCCCACGCTTTCCACCCAGCTCTGAAAGTCTGTGGAAACCCAACCTGCTCTTTCCTGCTAGACCCATGATTCCATGGCCTGGAGCCTTCATTTGGCACCCACTCCCTTAATTCCTGTGGTGATTCTCCTGGCACTGATGTCCTATCTCTGGTTTCTGTCCCCACTAGGCAGTAAGGTCTTTTTTTTTTTTTTTTTGGAGCGGTTTTTGCTATAGGATCCATGTGCTTGCCAGCAAGGCAGAGAAAGACAGAAAGACAGAGAGGGACAAATCACCCCCCAGGGGGAATGGCCACGCCACAATCCCTTCTCCTCCATTCTCCTCTTGGGATCTTGGGCACGCACGCACACGTGCCCGGTGTGAGTCTAAGCCACTGGGTCCAGGACTTGAACTGCAGTCAACTACATGGGAGTCCAGCGACATAGCCATTACCCCAATTGCTGGTCCTGACAGTGAGGTCCTTAAAGGTAGTTCTTAATTCACTTTTTAAAGACAGCTTACGCTTATTGAGGCTCCTCTGCCTGCCATCTGGGTGCTGGGCAGGGGGAGCGGGGTACAGCGGAGAACAAGACTATAGTCCCCTTCCTCACAGAGCAAAATGTTAATGAATGATGAGAGAGGAGCCAGCAGGTGGCATGGTGGTTAAGGCACTGGACTCCCACATAGCCAACTGGGGTTCAAGTCTTAGGCCTGGCAGCTTGCTTTCTCTTTGTCTCTCTCTTGCTGTCTCTCCCTGATGAGTACATGTGCCCTGTAGCAAATTAAAAAATAATAATGATAAATAAAATTAAATAAATAATTATTTATTTAAAAAGGTAGTGGGTGAGAAGACAGGTAGCGTGAAGCAATCACGGGTTATATACGCCGTAACAGGGGAAGCACCAGTGAGGACTGAGGGGCCAGAGATTTCCCAGGGAAGGGGAGCGAGGCTGACCTTGCTGAGGGGCTCTGTGCAGAGGTCTGCAGGGGTGAGGGAGGAGTTGGGGCTGGAGCTGGGCCCTGGTCAGGAGGCAGCACTTGATCTGGGGTACAAGTAGCCTCTGGGGTACAAGCCTCTGCATAAGGAGAGAGTGACTCGAACAGGTTTGCAGTCCCGTGGGACCCTCCTGCCCCCTCCCCTTTCCAGCATGGGTGCCGGAGGGTTGCCTTGTCATGGAGCCCTGAAGGACAGAGCTGTCAGGACTTGGGGGTGCACAGGCGTGGATGGGTGAGGAGCACTTCACGGCCCTGGTGCTCACCCCGGAAGGTGAGATTGGGCAGCTGGTGTGTGAGTAGGATTCCTGGATGTCGGGCTGAGACGCCGGTACCTGAAGCTGCCCGCTCCCCACGGATCACGGAAGCATGCCAGCCCACCCTGACGGCCCTTTCCTGGCCTCCAGCCCCCAGTGTGGCCATTGCACCCACCCTCCAGCTGTCCCAGGTCCTCAGAGGAGGCCTTGATAGTTGGCTCACAGGGTCTCTGGGCCACACTGCACATGGTAGTTTGCCCAGGCAGCCTGGCTCTGGGCTCAGGCCTTCGCGAGGTCTGTGGAGTGCCTACCCACCCCACTCCTCTGAACTCCCTCCGGTCTGTCCCCTTCCGGCCAGTTTCTCAGCTACCTCAGCGCCTGTGACCGGCTGCTGCGGCAGGGCTTCGAGGAGGGCCTGGTGGAGGAAGCCATGGAGATGTTCCAGTTCTCTGAGAGCCAGGTCAGCGGGGCATCTGCCTGGGTCCAGGGGCGGCAGGGTGGGGATGTACCCAGAGGCTGGTGTGCAGGGACACTCGGTCCCCAGACCTGCTGCTCACCCCTGGGGAGGAGACGCCCAGAGGAAGTGAGGAGGACAGTGAGGTCCTGAGGGACAACAGGAAGAGGCGGGAGGGGAATGGGAGGCAGAGCGAAGCAGGGCTGTCGGTTATTTCTCTGGATCAACACCGCAAATGTTACCGCTGCCGCTCTTTGTCAAACGCCTGGTACTCGCCACGGCTGCAGAGACGCTTGATCTCTCTACCTGGGGAGTTGGCCGCCTCCCCATAATCATGCCTTCGACGTTCTTAGTGAAATATGATTGGCCCACGGAGGCCAGCAGCCCTTGACAGAGGATGAGGAGAATCCAAGGAGGCGAGAGGGAGGGAGGTGGGGAAGGTTCAAGTACCTGGGTCAGAGGAGCAAGGCACCGTGTGAAGCCCCACAGAGCCCCCTGGCCACACATGCCTGGGCACCCATGAGCAGCCTTCCTCTGCCTGCCCCAGCACCCCAGGACAGGGAGGGTGGGATGAAGGCAGTGGGCAGCCTGGGGCCATCTTGCCCTGGCAGAGGAAGGAGACTGGAGCCCACAGCACCCAGAGGTACTGCCCAGGAGCAGGTGCACCTGGCCTCAGGGCACCAAGCTTTCTGGGACCAGGTGCAGTGGACATGGAGAAGGGGGCCGAAGCCCAGGGAGAAGGGCTGAAGTCCAGCCTAGCAGGGCTCCCACCGCCCTCCCTGCCTCCTCCTCTTCAGGCAGGGGAGTTCTTGCGCCTCTGGGAGCAGTTCAGCGACATGGGCTTCCAGCAGGACCGGATCAAGGAGGTGCTGCTGGTCCACGGCAACCGGCGGGAGCAAGCCCTGGAGGAGCTGGTGGCCTGTGCCCAGTGACTGCCCCTCACCGGGTCGGGCAGTTCACACGAGCCATGGCGCTGAAACCCGGGAGGACGACAGGGCAGCGCGTGCTTGTTGTAAACCAAACGATGCCCCGGGTGGCAGTAAATAGCAGAAGAATCAGCAGAAAGGGTTGAAAGTGGTTGCCTTTGGGGACGGGCTGGGGGTGCCTGGCAAGGAGCCATATTTTCATACAAGCCTTGTAAAATCACCTGGTTTAAGTCTCTAGACGGTGTATATTGGGAACTCTGATTTTAAGAAAATTAAACCAGCAAATGAGGGCAGTTCTTTCGAGTCCTGCAGGTTCTTGGTCTCAGTGCAGAAAGAACATCAAACTGCCAGTCAGAGGACCTCATTTCTGATTTAGTTAATGTGCTGTCTAGCTCAAGGCGTCATTAGGCCTCAGTTTCCTCAGAAAAAGTAGAGATTTCACCAGCTCGAAAGTTTTCAGACCTGCCTGCTCTCTAGGACGATCCCTGGAGAGTTTTTGAAGACTCCTAGGTCCCACCTCTGGGTAGTCTGATTCAGAAACTCTGGCCTGGCAGCCCCCAGGCATCCGTCTGGTCCTCTGCGTTCTCTGGGAATTCTTCACATTTTATTAAACCCATGGCTGGTGTGTGTGACCTTCAGCCCTGGCCTTCCGGATCCCCTTCTCTTTAACAATCTGGTTCCAGGTCACTTTTTCCTCATTCGGGGTGAGGAGGCTGGGAGCAGAGCCTTCACATGTGTACACTAGGCCTGTGGGCATATGTACCCAAACTCTGACAGGGTGGAGGCGGTGTGCAGCATGACCATGCCACATTGTGGGGTGCTTTCTCGCCCTCCCTTTTTCTGTCTCTATGTCTCTGGCAAAAGCGCATATGCTCTCTGGCAATAAAAAATATACATATAGGGACCAGCAGGTAGCATAGTGGTTAAGGCACTAGACTCCTACATGGTCGGCCAGAGTTTGAGTACCGGACCCAGCAGTATGAAACACACCAGGTGAATGTGTGTGTGTGCCCAAAAATCTCGAGAGGAGAATGGAGGAGAAAGGATTGTGGTGTGGTCATCCCCCGGGGTGATTTCTCATTTTCTGTCTCTCTGTCTCTCTCTGTCTCTCCATCAAGTTCCTGCACCCTGTAACAAAAAATATTTTAAAAAAATTTTTAAAATATATGTATTTCACAAAGTAAAATCCAGGTTATACCAGGCCAAGCCGTTAGAGGCACCCAGGGATCAGGGAACCAGTTTGCTGGAGCAGCCCACGACTCAGGCAAGTGGCAGGTAGAGGCCAAGATGCTGCCGCCCATGCCCTTCCCAGCTGGCCCTGCATAAGGCCTGCAGCAATTCTCCAGGATCAGAACCTAAAAGACAAAAAACAATGTGCATATTTTTCAGGGTTTCGACCCGGGTACCTTGTTTGAACATGTAACAGGGACTTCTGTGGGCATTCACAAATCCAGGACTAGAACTCAGATCTCCTGAGACCTGTCCAGCCTGGTGCTTTCCACCAGGGCTCAGTGCCTGCCAACTTGAAATCACGTTGCAAATATTCTTTGGCCTGAAAACTCGCTCTGAATAACTTGCAGGCAGCACAAAACTACTGGGAAAATGCACAAGATGGCATAGTGTTGGTCATGTGTCTGTTGCCAAAAATAAAACCACGCTTGGAAAAGGCAGTCAGATTACAGTTCAGTGTCTAAGATGTAACGCTCTGTCCAAAGCTACCTGTGTTCTGATGAAGGTAATCTGGCCTCGGGCCACCACTTCACTGAGTTCCCCTGATGAGACTTGACCAGTTGGGAGGCCCCTCACCCATGTTACCACACCTGCCCCAAACCTTTTTAACCCTAGATTACTATTGCTTGGTTAAAAATAAGACATCAAGGGGCTGGCAGGTGGCATGGTGGTTAGGGTGCTGGACTCCCGCGTGGCTGACCACAGTTTGAGTCCTGGACCAGGCAGGCACCTGCTTTCTCGTTTTTCCCTCTCTCTTTCTGTCTGTCTCTCTGGTAAGCACATGTGTCCTACAACAATTTAAATACATAAATGAATTAAATAAATACTTTTAAAAAATGAGACATCAGTGGGCAAACTGTTAGTTTGAAATTTTTGTTACAAGGTAGGATAGTGTGTTAGAGGCATGGACTCTGAAATCAGAATTAGGCTAGAACTAGAGCCTTATCACTAACCAGCTGTGTGGCTTTGTGAATGCCACGTAACCTCTCTGTGCCTCAGTTTCTTACCCATACAACATGGACACTGAAACCTTCCCGCTGTGAGACTGAGCAGGGTAGCACACATGGACTCTTGACATGGTGTCTAGTAGTTACTCACCTCTTCATGCTATCTGCACCCTTCCTAGCTCCATAGTCTCTGCGACTTTTACTCTGATCACCTTCCTTATCACTGTTATAGTAAAGGTCCAGCATTTCTAAAAAGGAACTATTTATTTTACTTTCTATTTTATGTTATTGATTATGCAATTTGACCAGAGACAAGGAGTGAGAGTGAGAGTAAGACAGCAAGTTGCCAGGTCCAGGACTTGAACTGTGGTCAGTCATGTGGGAGTCCAGCACCTCAATCACCATGCCACCTGCCAACCCCACTTCCGGCATTTATAATCAACTCAGAAAAACTGGAGAACCTCTCCCCCTGTGACTCAGCCTCCCTGGTCAGCAAGGTTTCAGAGGGCGGCTGGGGACCAGCAGACAGCGTAGTGGTTACCTTTCTTGACTCCCACATGGCCAACTGCGGTTCGAGTTCTGAACTCGGTGGTTTGAAAATCACCCCGGGCACATGTGTTTGCATGCCCAAGATCCTGGAAGGAGAAGGGAGGAGAAGGGATTGTGGCATGGCCACAATCACCCCACTGGGGGTTATTTCTCACTTTTTCTCTCACTGTCTCTTGCTCTGACAAGCACATGTCCCCTAAGCTAAAAAAAAACTTAAAAAAAAAAAAGATGGTGACTGGAGTAGGGGATTCTGGGAGTGCGGCCTGGGAGGAGGATGATCTCTCTGGCTAACACTGGGTCAGGTAGCTGTCTCAGTGGCTCCGTGAAATAGCAGCTTGGGACTGAAGCTCCTTGAAAGCAGAGTCTGGATGAAATGACCTCTGGAGAGGAGGCCAGAAAGATGGCAGAGACCAGACTCCAGGCAGCAAATGAGCAAAATGAAGCCATTTGCTGTGGTTCTTGCTCTCCTTCTGTTCCCTTGAGCTTTGTCTCCTGCTCTACGTCCCCACCGTGTTCTCGCAGAGGCCCAGTGCTCCGAGGCTGAAGGAGGCTTCCTGAGGGACAGGAGGGTGTCAGCATCTCACGCAGGACACACACATTCTTGGGTGCTGCTGTCCCGGGAAGTGTGCACACTGCCCTCTGTCCAGTTGACCTTCTGCCCCATTTTTTTTTGCCCCCCCATTTTCTTTTTTGCTATAGGGTGCCTGTGCTTGCTGGAGATAGACAAAGAGAGAATGAAAGTGAGAAATCACCCACCAGGGGAATGGCCCCTCTGCAGTCCCATCTCCTCTCAGGATTTTGGGCACACATCCACACATGCCCGGCATGATTTTCAAACTGCCAGGTCTGAGTCTTGAACTGTGCAGTCAGCCATGTGAGAGCAAGCACCTTAACCACCATGCCACCTGCTGGCCCCTCTACCTCCTTTGAAAGAACTCTTGTGATCTCACTGGGTCCATCCAACAATCCAGGAGAATCACTCATGCCAAGGCCCTTAATTTAGTCACATTTGCACATCCAACGAAAGGCAACACAACCTTCTAGGGATCCGGACGTGGATGTCTCAGGAGTGTGGGGTGGTTGGAGGGGTTGCTCGGCCTCCCACAGCTGGGCAATGCTTAATCTAAAATACTACGTGACCCACGAGGGGATTTCAGGCGATCCAGGAGAGAATTCCATTGTGGTTTGTATTTGTGTCATACAAGGGACACTTCTGGTTTAGGACAGGTGACACCGGAGTAGGCGTCCATGCAAGCCTCTAAGCTTCGGCCCCTGTGGATTGCAGTGTAGATGAGGAGGCCCCTCCCAGAGGCCTCAGGCAGGTTGAGCGCTTGCTGGTAGGCTCCAGGACACAGCTGGGGCTGCTCCTCTCTCCCCTCCGGTCTGTCCCTTCTGTTCCTGCTCCAACCCGAGTCGACCCTCTGCAGCTGACAACATTCTCCTGGCAATGGGCGCAGCGCCCACTAAGGGTCTGCCAGAGCCTGCTCTGGCCTGACCTTCCACTCTGGGGGTGTGGGGGGGGGGGATTGCCATCGGGTTACAGCTGGCCTCCAAGGATCAGTCGGGCCTCCTCCCTTCTCAGCCCCACCCCCAAATCTGACCTAGTTGCCTGTCCTGTCCCATCTGGCATGAGCAAATTCCTTTGCTGACCTCTGCGGGGAACACTTTGCCTTTCAGAAGAGGACCTGGAGGAGGGGAGGCAGATGGTGTGGAGGTTAAGGGAGCTGGTATGGAAGTTAAGGCGCTGGATCCCACATAGCCTACTGCATGGTTTGAGTCCCAGACCCAGCAGCTCGAAATACACTGGACGCGTGTGTGTGTGTGTATGTGTGCCCAAAATCCCAAGAGGAGCGTGGTGAAGGGATTGCAGTGTGGCCAGTACCCTGGGGGAGTGCATTCTCACTTTCCCTCTCTCTGTTTCCGGTGAATGCACACACCCTACGCACCTCCACATAATGTCTCATAAGTGGCTGGGTTTGGGGCACAGTAAAAGCTGGCAAAGGGGGACTGGCTTTCCCATCTCTTCCCAGCTGACCACCTGCCTCTATCAGACTCATGGCAGGAAGGACTTGGGGCCTGAGGGAGCTCAGGGAAGCCTCTTGCCTAATAGGTGGATCGTGGGCAGGGCCCTCCGGAGCCAGCACTCCATACGGGCCCTCCTGGTGCCTGGCACCTCGCCCTCAGACCTAAGGGTCAGGGCTCAGCTCCCACATGTGCTGGGCTGAGAGGGACTCAAACAACCAGGACTCCCTGGAACAGTCCTCAGGAAGGGAAACTGGGCCACGGGTACCATCTGAGGAAGTTTCTGGGGTGCACTTCATGCTGGGGGCCGGGGTGACCTGAGTGGGGCAAGAACTGCTGACTCAGTTCTATGCAAGGCTGGCCACTCAACCAACCAGCCACTCCTCTGCTGAGCACCTGCTTGGCCGGTGCTGGCCCCAGACAGAGAAGTAGCCACCCTGCGTCCCAGGGTTACAGCCCCGACAGCCAAACCCCCACCACAGAACCCTCACTCACGGACCCTCACCCTCCACTGAACACCACCTAGCAGGGGCCAGGCC